GGAAAAATTAACTGTGCCAACCCCACCTAGTGGGATAAGGTGGAAACAAAGAAGGTTTCTAATGTCTGTTTTTTAGTTATGCTGGTGGGTCTAATTTTTTGTTGTATTTTTTTCTTGATTTCAATATGTTGGCTACATTGCCTATCAGACGCTAACTGCTAGACGTAGGCCTCCCTAAATGTTCATAAGATGATTGGTAACTGACAATAATTACCAGCCAAATTAATTTCAAAAATATTGGCAGTTAATTAATTGCTTCACTAAAATGTTCTTCGATTCATGTAGTTGAACGACTTGTTTTAGAATATTTTAGTAATCTTAAGGTTTCATTATTGAATTCAATTTGTAATTTTTTTTAGAATTAGGAATTTAACTAATACAGTAATTAAAATTCAAAAATTATGTATGTTAGTAAACATAACACCTATTCACCAGTTCATTGCTGCCCTATTTAATTTATTCACTCTAGAATCTTTCTTTACAAGAAAGACCGTATTTATTTTTGAATTTTATTAACTCTATCACCCAGTCAATAAAACTTATATTTTTAAGGAAAGTATGTCTTATGTAAAAACTATTCTACTAAACTCAATAAACAATACAAAGTAAAATTAGCAAAATTATACAGTCACCAAAGTATTTCATTCGATTTATAAAACTATTTTTTTTCCAAATTAGTTGCATTAGAGAAAATTTGCCGAATGTGTGGTGGCCTTGATAATAGTGTCAATTCAGCAAACTAAGTGAAAAGCTCCACGTTGCAAACCGACTTCCACATTTGAAAACTTCTCAACCAATTTTCACTAATACCTTTCACATTGGGGGATTTTCTTTACTTTCACCTGTTTCCATTACTTTTTTGCATTATTCAGTAGATAATCGTCTGGCGACCGCGGTTATTAAGCTATTAACAGCGGCTATTAAATTTGAGGACAACGAACACTCTTTTGATTGCGTTGTTGGATGTACGAACTCAGCCCATATGGTGTTCAATAGTTATTGAAGACACACACATCACAAGAGACACGAGTTTGAAATCTCAATTTTTTTTATTGACAGGTTTTTTTTTTATTGCCCTTGTAAGCAGACGAGCTCACGGCCCACCTGATGGTGAGTGGTTACTGTCGCCCGTGGACTTCAGCAAGGCTAGGGGCAGAGCCAAGCCGCTGCCTACCGCTTAATACTCTCCACAGGCCTCGTTTGAAGGAGGACATGTAATAGCGCTCGGGAAACACCTTAGAGGGGAGCTCATTTCATAGCCGGATGATACGTGGCAAAAAGACCTCTGGAAACGCACTGTGGATGACCGCAGTAGCTCCAGGGAATGATACGGCCCACCTTCTGAAGAGTCGCCGTCACCGTCGCTCTAGAATTTCAGCAATGGCAAAAATACAGCCAAGCAGCTGCCTATTACAATTGCCATTAGATTGTATAACAGATGTACCGCTCTTCAAGCTAGTATGAATGATTGATTTGCGGCAGGAATGGGCAGAATGCTAGTATCTAGCCGGACTTACAATACCCCGTACCAGCCGCAATGATTTTCGGGAATCTGGGTCTATGACTAGAAGAAATCAAGGCGCTGTTCCTTTAGTGAATGCGGCTAGAGTGCATAGAAAGTATTTTAATCCCAAACTACGATGAACCAGAACGATACTCAAATCATAGACAATATATTTTTCTACCATAGTGCTCTGGGGTACAGGTAGCTTGAGTCGATTCAGTAGCAAGTACTACTGAATCGTCGTACCTGTCAGTCAGTAGACCATAAGAAAATTGTCCAGAATTAATTAACGTGATAAACCAAATGCTAATAATAGTTAACCCGCTTCGAACAACAAATACATCTCACAATAATAACAGTAATACTGTAATTAATTTATTACTGCTGTTTTTGCTATATTTTACGACGGTCATTAAACTAGGAATTCCCAAAGTAATGGATATTTGGAGACTTAGCCCTCATATATCATAATAGGTGATGTGTCTGAGCATCCGTAACCAATTGGCTCCAGGTCGGCTCCAAAATCATTCACCTGTACACCCAAATAAAAACACAACTGACACAATCCGTTTAAAAAGCGTTGCATTTTACCACGATCATTTAAATCTAGACTAACAAATTGCGTTTAGACTGCGGACAAACGAGACCAATCGTCATACTAAAAAATAAAATAGAGACCACGCTATGTCATACGGAATACAATGGCATTCTTTCTGATCCGGAACAATAAAATGTCCCGCCCGCAGTCATTGGTAAACATGAATGACAATTTGCGATATAAAATACTTTAGCATTACGGCATAACGTCCGTAACGTCGTATACAGAAGTACCGACATAAAGTATTTAAAAGTTTCTTTTAGAGTCTCTGAGGAGGATAATATTCCAACATAAATTCTCCTCGGGGGCTCACCCCACTCTTTGAACCCATAAAACGATAAAGATCATCTTTTGTAGCTTCTGAAGGGGCGGTTAGGTTTCTTGTGTCTTAACAGTCGAGCAATTTCACTAAAATTATACGTTAATTTGCGAATGATTACACGTAATTGAAATTTCATATTTAACACCGTGTTATTATCGAGAACACTGAGAAATTGTTAGTCTGCAAGTTACATATTATATGGATGTGAATGCTTCCTCACTATTTCAAGCATAAATATATAAATTTTATTATGCAGATCGAATGCAACATATGAAAGATTTCTAATTGAATCCGTAATAAAAGCCATTTAATTTATCAGCTCAATTTTTTTTTGTAAATCTACAGTTGTTGGACATAATCACGTCGTGTAGTTTGATTTTACACTTATCTACGATTCAACAATAAACTGGTAACAAAATTTTACGAATCGTAAAAATACGCTAAACATTTTACAGCCGATCAATACGGCCTATAGTTGATTTTGTTTATTGTAAACTTTTTGCTGTACAACTATACTGAACTTTATTAAAACGACACTGAGTCTATTTTTTGCACAATACACATTCACACATGTAACGTTCTGCTGTAATTTATGATAATAAATTACAATGTCTACGCCTAATACTAAAGGGTTTCTTTAATACTTTCATTACACCTTTAGTTTAGTAGATGTTCTGAACAGATACAGAGAAAAAAACGTTCATTATCGGCTCTAGCGAACAAATAAAACAGGATGGCACCCCAGGGGCCGTTCTCTTGGATATTGCGACCCGCAAGCAAATTTACTCTAGGCACAATAAATGCTTAGGATCGTACGTGAGCGAACACGCCGCTTCGCCAACAATAACATTTATACACTGATACATTAGAAGGGAGATAAAACCTTACTAATAAATGCACGATGTCACATATCTTGTTAATGGAAACGCTTGTTTAATTCAAACGTACGCGAAAGATATCGGCCCCGAATGAATTCAACATTAAAATGTAAATTTGTATTTACATCTCTCACATCTTATTCTCGTAGTTCAAACTGAATTAACGTTAATTCCTTTCACTAACGTTAACATTTACGTGAATCAAGTCATATTAGAAGTTCTGTTATTAATTACGAGATAAGAACTAACGATATTATAACGTTCACTGTCAACACGAAACTTCAAATAGATTAATTGTAAATACGTACGAGTACATAGAGCGCTTCAAATTGCTGTATCTCTGTTCTTTATAAGTATATTTAAAATTTTCGAACTTAAGCCAATATATAGGTATATGATATCTTCATTAGTTTTTTTAGTAGTTTATTTCAATCATTAACTAAGAATTAGATTACTTAAAACATCTTCATTTGAATTATAAATCCATATTAAATAACGTAAAATTTAAAGTTTTAAATGATTTTCGAAGTTTTTTTTGTGGTTCATCAGATAACTTTATTATAATCTAAATATAATAAATAAAAAGGCTGTTAAAAAAGCTTTTAAAAATGCAGGTTAAAAAAAATATGCATAGCGAAAATTTAAAAAAAAATGCGTACATAAAACACAACTTACAAACCATAAATAATACTCGTATGAATAAACAATTGAATATTGTTTGACAAAAACACACGCGTCGCCTTGGGTGAAACAAAAAAATTTATTAAAATAAAAAGTTATTATTTTCTTATAAAATTGACGCAATATTTTTGTTAGGCTGTAAATTGAAAACATAAAATTACCTTATATAATTTTTTACGCTTCAAATCGTACATACAAGACAAATTCTTACACTATAGAAATATAGAGTCACCAGTTTTATTTGTCTTCTATTCATTTTTAGTTTATATAGTTAGCTAGTTTATATAGTATTTAGATCTAAAATACAAAACCATAAATAAAAGAGGTTTTTTTTTCACCATTTAACGTTTCAAACAACATAAACATTCACACATTATATAGATTTTATGATAATCGATTTAACAATACATTTAGGTTCGCAGGACAAAAGATAAAAACTAGCGATAGTAATACTTCAAAAATGATGAATTTTGACTCAGAAATCATTCGGGATACGTATTATAATGTAAATAGATACCAACATAGTCAGCTTTCATTATTATCAAATTAATTATTCACATCGTCCCGCAGCCTCCCGCGTGGGATATGAAATGAGACCGTAGGACGATTCCCACTAATTTCTAACTTATTTTATACAGGCCACTTGTGCTGTTATAAAAACATGAAATTCAAACAGCAAAATGAACCATATGCTTAGTCAGTTTAAGTACAAAACTTAAAACATTGAAGTTAGTGAAATAATTTCGACTATCTGACAAACCATTTTATACATAGCTACACTCGTTTTTAGGGTTATTTTAAAATGAAATATATAAACATGAACTATAACACCGACAGTTGTCTTTGAGATTAAAATAACAAACGATGGGAGATTAAATTACTTAAGATTTCCGGAATGCCAACTGTTTGAAACATCTACTCCGATTAAGGAAACTGATATCTTGTGTTTCTCGAAAAACATACCTCAGTTTTGTTTTCTGAACTGAAGATTAGTAAAAAGTATTTTAAAATTTTCAGAAGTGCCACGCTTCGAAGATAGTCTTAACAACTTGACAGTTTCACTAGGTAGAGAAGCCGTATTCACTTGTGTCGTCAATGATCTCGGATCCTACAGGGTACGTATTAAAGCAAACACGATATTAAGCTACCGGTAGGCAGTAGTTTAGCTCTGCCCCTGTCATTGCTGACGTCCATGGGCGACGGTAACCACTCACCATCGGATGGGCCGAATTCTTGTCTGCCTACAAGGGCAACGAAAAAGCCGCAAACGTATTAAATTAAATAGTTTTTCTGATTAATTCACATATTAATATGATTGATATGATTATGATACATTCATTCATGACATCTATCAAGACAGCCTAAGTACTCTGTAATTTCAATTTCTAAATACATTTACTTGATTAAATTAACTTAACGATAAATGGTTATTCGAGTTGTTATTACTTATAACACCATTACTTAATGATATTCGAAATGAAAAGTGAAATTATTATGATATTAAATAATACTATTTGTAATGTATGTAGCCGCGAAAATTTAAAACAGTATAAGTCAGTGCGTAGTTCCATTTATATGATCATTGGCTTTAGAAGGAGGATATTGAAAATACAGTGATACAAATTCCTATATTGACATCACTCGACCTAAACACATCTTTCGAACACTTAACTTACTGGCGGTAGGACCTCTTGTGAGTCCGCACGGGTAGGTACCACCACCCGGCCTATTTCTGCCATGAAGCAGTAATGCGTTTCGGTTTGAAGGATGGGGCAGCCATTGTAACTATACTGAGACTTTAGAACATATATCTCAAGGTGGGTGGCGCATTTACATTGTAGATGTCTATGGGCTCCAGGAACCACTTAACACCAGGTGGGCTGTGAGCTCGTCCACCCATCTAAGCAATAAATAAAAAAACTTAATATTACGCATTATTATCTAATGGAGTTTAGAATCATAATATTGTGTGTTTGGATAGGTGGCGTGGCTACGTGTGGACACGCAAACGATCCTGACAATAGCAACCCATGTTATCACGAAGAACCATCGCATAGCTGTGAACCACAGCGACAGGCGCGTCTGGTTCCTTCACATCCACGACGTACGGCAATCAGACCGAGGCTGGTATATGTGTCAACTGAACACAGACCCTATGAAGAGTCAGACAGCTTATTTAGATGTTGTAGGTACGTGTTTCGCATTCTTAACACATTGACTGCCACGTAGATCACCGGTGCCCTACGCGGAGTACTGAAGTAATTGTGTCGATTTCTCTCTTCGATCTTCTTACTAAGGTAACAGAATTTCTAGTATATTCTGGGAAAGATGAATCTGAACATACTGAGAATGAATCTCTTTCTAAGTAACGTAAAAGACTGAAGTAATTGAAGTAATTGGGTCGATTTCTGTTATTAAACGCCTGGATTACCTAACTTCGCCCTCTTTTGTAAGTCAATGTGTGTTATAGTCTTTTAGGTTTATTCTCAGTATCTTCAGATTCATCTTTCCCAGAATCTACTAGAAATTCTGGCACCTTAGTAAGAAGATCGAAGAGAAAAATCGACATAATTACTTCAGTGCGCCACGTAGGATATGGCAGTCAACGTGTTAATATGTAAAAAAACGTGTGTGTACAATTCAAACGTGGTAGAAGTGAAACCTTAAAAAATTTAGGCTTCACGATAATGAGACGAATGTAAAATTTCGGGAAGAGGATAATTGTAGGTTTTAGTAATGATGATATATCTTGTATAATATATTACATAGATTTATTCAGAGTGTATCATATTAGGTACGAAGCAGAGCACAAATAGAACCACGAATATAAGAAACACTGTAAGTTAAATGCATCCCATCTCATTTTCTCCCACGTTAAATCTTATCAATTTATGTGTCTATCTCTTTTTACTGTCGCTTTTTCGTTTCATCGACTTTCGAATCACAACGATGCTAAATAAGTTTTCACTTTAAAAAATACGATAATCAATAGGCCGTATACTCGTCTGCCTACAAGGATGAATGTAAAAAAATTTAACTTGAATTAGGTACGAATGATTTCTATGTTACTATACAGATAACTGAACAGAATATTCTCTAAATCCTTTTTTTCAGTTTTCTATATTCTCAGTATATCTTTCATATTTTATTCGCTTGGCATACATTAGTATAATAAGATGGAAATTATTTAAATCTAATTCCTATTTGCCTTTGAAAATCTACATCTTGTAAAAATGATTATTTAAAAAAATCTAATATTTAAAAAAAAATAATCTAATATTTAAAAAAAAAAGACTTGCCCGCTGAGTTTATTGCCAGTTCTTCTCAGGACGGTGGCTGCTTTTTTGTGAATTAGCATTAGTTCTTTTTGACGTTAATCAAGTGTGTACTTTCATTTATGTTGAATAAAAAAAATATGATTTGATTTGAAAGAATTTTACTAAAATATTGATTATGTTTTTCAGTAATAAAATACTTTACACATCTGTTTAGTTCCGCCGGACATCTTAGATTACCCGACAAGCAGCGACCAAGTGGCCAGAGAAGGCGCCAACGTAACTCTGCGGTGTGCCGCCCACGGGGTACCGACTCCGATAGTTGTATGGAGAAAAGAGGCTGGGGACTTATTACCTACAAGTAATTTTAGTGATACACACAGTAAGGAATATTATTTGTTATACAATATTTAAACTCTTAGAACATAGTTTCGCTTTTCTCAGTTTTTTCAATCACAAAAGAAAAGATAAAGCAAGGAGGTAATTCTTTTTTTTTTTGCTTAGTTGGGTGAACGAGCTCACAGCCCACCTGGTGTTAAGTGGTTACTGGAGCCCATAGACATCTACAACGTAAATGCACCACCCGCCTTGAGATAAGTTCTAAGGGCTCAGTATAGTTAAAACGGCTGCCCTACCCTTCAAACCGAAACGCATGACTGCTTCACGGCAAAAATAGGCAGGGTGGTGGTACCTACCCGTGTGGACTCACAAGAGGTCCTACCACCAGTAATTACGTAAATTATAGTTTTGCGTATTTGATTTTTATTGCACGATGTTATTCCTTCACCGTGGAAGTCAATCGTGAACATTTGTTGAGTACGTATTTCATTAGAAAAATTGGTATCTGCCTGAGATTCGAACACCGGTGCATCGCTCAACACGTATCTTTTATCGCTCTTATCATTTAGGCCACGACGACTTGGAATGAATGAATGTAGGTACACTGGTGGTAGGACGTCTTGCGAGTCCGCACGGGCAGGTACCAGTACCCTGACTATTTCTGCCGCGAAGCAGTTATGCGTTTCGGTTTGAAGGGTGGGGTAGCCGTTGTACTGTAAAAAACTGAAACCTTAGAACTCATATCTTAAGGTAAGTGGCATTTACGTGGTAGATGTTTATGGGCTCCGGTAACCATTTCACTTCAGGTAGGCCGTGAGCGCGTCCACCCACATATGCAATAAATAAAAAGTTCACTGATGCTCATGTATCTCGGCACGGTATTACCATAAATATAGCTAAACTTGTGCCTACCGCTTATTTTTGTACTAAGAAATATATTATTCTATTGTTAATAAGAGTCTGAAGTTCTGCTGTAATTTTCGAAATTACTAAAAGTTTGCATTTCAGTATAAAAACCTACTTTTACGAGTTTGAATATTTATTCTCGAATCAATGTTCGTTTTATAAAAACGGCAAATGACTTTAACAACCTTTTAAAAGTGAATGGTGAAACGTAAATCCAAAATTTCCAGTAATATCTCGGCGAGCTTCCGACCTAAATAGCAAAACTGAGGGTTAGTGGAAAAATCCTTTTATAGTGCACTGCAGCTCTCTGGGATAACGTCAAAATTACGTTGAAATATAACGCGTGTGGTACAGAAAATATACCTTTAATTACTTGAAGGTACAAAAAAAAATCTTATACTCTTTAAAAAAAAAGAAACCTGTTATCAACTTTTTACAATATAGTGTTTGTCCGCTTAGGGGGAAATAACGATAAAATGTTTCAGAACAGTAATTACGAAACGACCGTAGCCTACTAGATAAGAGACCCCGTGTATTCGAAATAATATCAAAATCCCTATGCATAATATATTCACGAATAATTTTCAATATGAAGGGAATGTTATAGTTACATATGTATAATAATATGTCCATGAACAAGCTAAAGATTTAAAACCACGACAGTACTGTATCATTCTAGGAATAGAATTTAGATTTTGCCGCAATCGCATGAGCAACTACAAAAAACTGCTATATGTATTCCAATTTACCTCTGTAAGCACATATGTATACCTTTGATAGGTCCTAAGCCTTACTTTATATAAAGGAATACTGTGACGAAAAGGTAATAAATCTCTAGGTGTCTAAGCAGGTCATTACTTTTACTGTGTAAATTATCCCCAAAGACATTATTTAATCATTAAATGAAATCAATTAGATGAGTATTTATTTCCGTTCCATGAGCCAGAAAATTCATTATGATAATTAGATATGAGTTTATTGCTACAAATGTGAAGGCCCTGACCGAGTTCAGCGATTAAATTAGTTTTTAAGCAAAATAATAACCGTAGCATTTGAAGTTCAAATATTTTAAGCTATTGCATAGCTTTTATCGCAGGCCTTGAGCGCGGCGACCGACTCATGAAATTCCGTAACGAAAAAAACCTTACACCACTCACTCCGCCTACCATGTAGCTCGCGTTCAACACATTCACACGTTGCGCTTGTGTAGTGTTTGTGAATAAGCGCGTGGCGTGACGTCACACTGCATGCGCATCGTGAAAAGTCTGCCCATCTCTCTCTCGCCCGGTTTAGCTTATGAGTGTGAAAGGGACAGTTAAGGTTTTGCTTTTATTAATGTTTAATATAGCGTGGTCTTGTTTTATTATTGTTTTAATATTAAATTATCATTGTCTAATTATAATTGCATAAGTTGATAAAAAATGCTATGCAATAACTTTACCGCGGCAGTTCCCGAGTGCCACACGTTTTTTTTTCTAATTTCAGGTCACTCTTTATATAAAATATTATATTATAAAATCGATTTTTCAAAATTTAACATACCGTAGTCCATGTTCCCGATTCTGTTAGAAAGCCTAGATTAATATTAGTGGCTTAGTATACAAGTCCATCCGCATTAGTTTAAATTATCGTTTTCGTAAATGTTTTTCTAGAGCACATAAGCGTCATAGCCCACATGTTTTAAGCGCTTACTGGAGCTCATATACCGTTGTACACCTTGTGACAGACAAGATTACAAACAACAGGTAGTGCCTTTATTAATAAATAAATATACGGTTTTTTTTTTTGTTAAAACGGAGTAAGAAGCCGAGATATTTAAGACTTGCTTCCGCCGTAGATCTTTGGTACCTTGTTCAAATTGATATTTACCAAACGTTCATTAGTGTCGGATAGATCGACGGATAAGATCTTTTAAAGGTTCCATTCTCTGCTTTTGAGGACCAGAATCCTAAACATAAAATCAACTAAATAGGCTTTGCGTAGTCAACTTACACACGTCTTGTATGGAATTAAAGGAGATCATACCTAGAATCTGAAAATCGGTGCTTAATTATGCAAATTACGATTCTATATCGAAGAAAATTAAAAACATTGTTTCAATACCTACCTGTACCTGTGAAAAAACTGTAGCTAAGCGAGAATCAATTGCTTCTCTGGAAGTGATTTTATCTGCCTCGAAGGATTTAAAATTCCATAAATTATGGGAATCGGCTGTTTTTACTAGGTTTCAAGAGCGAAGTGGATGGCAGAATATTTTCGGTCGCATCACCTTTATTTTGCGGATCATATGTCGTGCAGTTTGTGGTCAAACATCGTCGTGATTGACCAGTGTGACCAATTAACCAGCCCGTTTGTTTTGTTAATAATAAATGACAAAAAGAAGTTGCCTGGCCTCACGAAGCTTTTGTAGATAACATTAGCACTGGGCCACCAAATTCCTACATGTTTATTAATTTGCATCATATTGAATTGTGGTTAAATTTTGGCTGATTCTCCAAAACAGTTACAATAAACGTGTCCAATCACCGTAAAAGAACTATCATTCTTCACTATTTATATGATTCATAGTGATTTTCTCGTTCATGCACGCATTTGCTGATGGACTTCACTTACTTCGTATGTAATACATTTTCCGACTACAGCACACAACCGTTGCCCCCAGCCTGTAAGCGGAAGTCCGGAGAATTAATCCTGCCCAAAAATAATTTGCGTGTTATTTCTCTTTTTCAATTTAATGATAATAAATTACAATGTTTTTGTAAGTTTTTGCGAAGGCTGCTACTGACTACACAGCTTGAGGCGTTGGGGTGGCAAGTTCCAGGCGAGGTTTTATCCCAGTCCCGCTCCGTATCTCGTTCAGTTGTTATGGATAGTGAACAGTATTTTCTCTGAATCTCAATCTCGCACCCTGCTCTTAGATTTACTCTCCGCAACATATTTACCTAAATACAAGCTCGAAAACTACCTATGCTAGTAGCCTTGAGAGTCTATATCAGCTTCGCAACGTGTAGGTGAGCTCACGGGGCTCAAACCGGAGTGTTGCTAACACTGGCCCTAGTAAGAGAAGCGCTTCGCAGAATCTACCACCGGATCGGAAACGCGACCAACTGAGAAGATCCGGCGAGAAACTCAGTGGGCTGTGTCTATGGGTTAAACAAGAGTAATGTAGGAGAAGTAGGTGAACCATTTTCTGATGGTAGTCAGTAGTTTAAGTTCTCACAGGTAGGTTGAATCAGTCTTTACATAGACTAATTAACCCAAAACAGTATGTATCGTGAAATCCTGAATTCTACGACAGTTTCTAGTTTTAACGAAAGTTAATCATTTTGTGGCTGAAATTGTTTTATATAATAGACTAGCTGACCCGGCAGACTTCGTAGTGCCTCAATCGATAAATAAAAGACCGACGGGGGACACATCAAAGGAAAAACAAAATTGTTATTTTTATTTAATTCCGAGAATTTTCATATTTATCTACCTTTTAAACCTTTTCTGGACTTCCACAAATAATTCAAGACCAAAATTAGCCAAATCGGTCCAATCGTTCTCGAGTTTTAGCGAGACTAACGAACAGCAATTCATTTTATATATTAAATAGAAGATAGAAGATAGATAGATTAAATTGACTGATATATTTTTTTTTCAGATAGTTCAGTAAGCGGTGCAGTATTGCAATTAACGAAAGTATCAAGGTTACACATGGGAGCGTACCTGTGCATCGCCAGCAATGGTGTTCCGCCCTCAGTTAGCAAACGGGTTATGCTTGTAGTGCACTGTAAGTTTTCTCTTTTGCAGGTAATATTAAAATATATTAATAGATCGATATTATTTCAAGTACAGGATAATATTAAACATAAACGTTATTTAAATTGCATATTATCATAAAAGAATAAAAATCATTAAGTACATTATTATTCAGTTTACTTCATAGTTTCATTCAAGTACCGCTTAAAAAACTAAATTTGTAATGTTCTTCCCATTCTCAAATAAAAACTTCTCATAATTTGGAATCTGATTTCTTCTTGCTCAATAAGTGAGTGTACATTTTTACAACATCGATTCATGTTGTGGTTTGGTTTAAATAAGAAAACTTGTCGCCTTGACATCTACATGGCATTGTTTGAATATTAGTAATAGATACTGATAATATAAGTGTGAAATCCAAAATATAAACTATAGATTTGAATATTTTTTAATCAATCACGCGTCCCGCTCGATCCTCCCGCGCTCGCTAACCTAGAAGAAGCATCAGTATGCCGAATCTCACTGACGGAACACGCGCCGATCGTTTACACGTTCGTTTATCTCCCACCTAATAAAATCGTTTTAAGCAGTGATATCAAGGCGCTGCTCTGCATGGGAAGCCACGTAATTCTGACGTGCGAACTAAATTGTAAACACATCAGGTGAAACTCGCATACCAAAACCCTCAACGGTAGACGCCTCAACGCGTTAGTCGATAATCTCGGTTGGATATCATCGCTCAGCTAACCCCAACTCACTACCCACTAAATATCGCGCATCGCCCGGATGTATTCGATACAGCATTATTAAAAAACGTAACTCTGCACTTATGTTCGATCGAAGTATTTTCAGAGTTAGACTCAGACCACCGTCCCGTTGTTATGAAACTCGGTCACGCTCCCGATTCTGTACCCGTCACGAGAGCTGTGTTTGATTGGCACACACTGGGCATCAGCCTAGCTGAATCTGATCCACCATCGCTCCCGTTCAGCCCGGACTCTACCCCATCCCCTCAGGATACTGCTAAAGCCATAGACACCATAACGTCACACATCACTTCGACATTAGAGAGGTCCTCGAAGCAAGTTGTAGCGGAGGACTTCTTCGCTGCTTCAAATAGCCCGAGGATGTTAGGGAACGGCTTAGAGCAAAGAAAGCCTCAATCCTCGCCTACGATAGGTATCCGTACCGAGGAAAATCGTATTCGAATGCGTGCCCTACAACCTGACATATAATCTCTCATCGCTGAAGTCTGAGATGCCAGATAGTCTAATTTCTTAGAAGAACTCGCGACCTCCCAACGGTCTTACTACCGCTTAGCTCGTACTCTTCCGATAGTTACCGATAGTTGTCGAACCACTCTCGATATCTTTCTTACCACCACTTACGATATCAATTAGCCTTATTCGCCGCCAAAACACCGTTTACTACTCGAGTAGAAACAAGTCTCTAATCGCAAGTAAACTCAAGAGCGCAGCCGTAACCCTCGGACAATGGTTCCGAAAATAACACATAGACATCAACTCAGCGAAAAACACAGCAGTGAAAATTCAAAGGGGACACTCTACACTAATTTCCTCCTACACTAGGAGGAGAAATCTCACACTCCCGATCACCCCCTTCGGCCAACCTATTCCCTGAGCCAGGAAGGTCAAGTAGGAGTCACTCTGGAGTTATCCTGGATGCATCCATGACATTCCGCTCGCATATAATATCAGACCACGACCGTGCCTCGTTTATCCTCGGCAGACTAGCCCATGATCTGTAAGCGGAGTAAAATGTCCCTTCGGAACAAGGTGACACTTTTTGCATAAGCCCGTCGTGATTTACGCGAGTATGGTGCTTGCTCATGCGATCCGCACACACCTAAACACCCTCCAATCTCTACAATCCCGTTTTTGCAGGCTATCCGACGAAGCTCCGTGGTTCATGAGGAATGTCGACTTACAGGACGATCTGGGCCTCGACTACTCCCCAAACCCGGACCACACAGGAGCCAGTCGCTGTCGACGTCCTAGACACGTCCTTACAGATCCATCAGATCCAATAACCCTTGCAAGAGCTTTAGATGCCTTCAGCTCTAACACTAGGAGCAGACTTAGAGACCCCGGTACTCGTCGAACTTGGCAAAGAGTTCGACGTGCAACCTAACCCATGCGTCAACCCGCTGAACGATGATCTGAATGATGAGCTAATCTTCTCAGCGGGTCACGATTCCGATCCGGTAGTAGATTCATTCGCGAAGCAGCTAGCTGTTGAGTTGTTATGTTTCTTTTGGAGTGGCTCAGGCAGCTGTTAGCAAATACCACCCCTTCTGACTGAGCCTTTGCTCGCCCACCTGTCCTAATGAAACTGGAAAGGCCTCCAAGCCACCAGTAATCCTACATTCATAAAAATAAATTCAATCACACGAAAACGGCTGAACTCATTTAGTCGAAATTTCGCACAAACATCCAGATTATAAACTATAACCTGAATGTAAGTCATGCTATTATGGTAACTGGCATGACCAGGACATCGCCGGGTATATTTGTAGTTTACGCGGACCAGAGTAATCCAAGCCCTTGGCCAAGCTCAAGTTCTTATCCTGGGAAAATGAAACGCCTCATTATTTCCGAATTACCAATGCAACTCGTGGTACCTCTGCTAGCAGATAGGAAAGCAATACTGGAAACTGGGAATAGATAGCAGAAGTTTTATTAGTAGTGCCTGGAGAAGGACGGGTTAGTGTACACGTCTGTTCTGATTAATAGTCAAATAGATTATTATGACGCAACCTCTGAAATAAAGATATTTCAAACGTTAGATACGTTTTCATAAAATCAGATAACGACAAAAGTCAACATCATAAAAGTATTTTAATGGTCTTTGCTCAAGAAATAATCTACGATCAAGTATTAAATTGATAGTTTCTTATAAAATTATGAAGACAATAGCTTTAAGATTTTAGAACTCGACAAATATTTAATCTGATCTACCATGAACAATTTAGACGTTTCCATTATTCAAACTAAATATACACAATCATAATTCCATTTAGATAGGGTATTAGGGTGAAGAATTATTAAACAAAGGCAGAATATATAGTTAGCTTCATATTTAACTGTTTTTATATTAGTGGTTTTGGCTTTTATAATTACTACATGTTTCCTGTAAAATCATCCAATGGAGATGCAATTCAAGGTGTTTTACCCTTTCGGGGGAAAAAATATCTTTGTTAATAAGCGGCCTGTAAACTCTCTTTGCAAATGATTCGGACTAGTTGATTTATGAAAGAACAGTAAGTACTTATCTACAAGAAGCTTGATTTAAAAGAATATCCCTTATGAGTGACAATACAAATGAATCAACCCAATTTTTGCTAATAAGATGAACTCGAATTTGCTATTGCTTTCTATATTTCACAAATATCTTTCGGAATTATGACTCGTGAATGTTCGACGTAATATCTAAGAGCCCTTCTAAATTTTAATATCCAGATGATCAACTTTAATCTCAAACGTCGTGTAGCGTACAAACGAATTTCGGTCTTTTTGTTTTTTTTTCGCAATGAAAGTCTTGTCTCCGGTGGAAACACCGGGGCATACAAATGACTCAGTATGCGATTAGACTTGAATTTTTATGTAATCCTACCGACTAGAAACCCACCGGTATTCCACCGAGTAGGCATTTTGAAGGAGGGTTCCATGACTAAGACAACTCTCTTGTTTTATCCCAACTTGACAGACTAAGCAGATCAACCGCCCAGCCGGCTTTTCAGTCCATTTTCTCAAACCGCATGAGTTCTGTTAAATTGTTAAAGTATAGAGACCTATAGACAACTTAGTTGCGATGGGCGTCACCCGAGATGTTTATTCCGGTTGCAGTCAAGCGAATGCACAAGATCGAAGTCTCGATTCTTCCAACATTTGTTCTACCTTCAACACACTATCGTCATGTAAAATCGTCTGGCCTAAATAAAACGCCTTTTCTGTTCCAGTTCCGCCTATAATGACTATACAAAACCAATTAGTTGGAGCGAAAGAAAGTGACACAGTACATTTAGATTGTCATTCCGAAGCTTTCCCAAGGTCTATTAATTATTGGACTATAAATGATCAAATTATTTCACAGTGTAAGTATTATCTCTTCTTTTTAAAAGTTTTTTTTTACTTCGACTTATAGTTTTAGTTTTTGAATGATTATTGTTGAGTAGATTTTACGGATGACAAACTCGTGGTTTTCCTGAAATTAAGTGATAAAAGACTTATTTGTATGATGATTTTTTTCTCTTGTATTTTTTTTATTGCTTAGATGGATGGACGAGCTCACAGCCCACCTGGTGTTAAGTGGTTACTGGAGCCCATAGACATCTACAACGTAAATGCGCCACAAAGATATAAGTTCTAAGATCTCAGTATAGTTACAATGGCTGCCCTACCCTTCAGACCGAAACGCGTTACTGGTTCTCGGTAGAAATAGGCAGGGCGGTGGTACCTACCCGCGCGGACTCACAAGAGGTCCACCACCACCACCAGTAAATGTAATGTAATAATGGAGGGAGAGAGAAACCAGCCTTAAAGGATTGTTAAAGGATTACCCGAGCGTACAGACACTACAACGTGAAGTCTCATGTTGTGAACTCACAACAAATCCTACTTATGTACTTCAAGGATATTTCAATGAGTTATTTGTTCAAAAATAAACTTAAACTAGCATAACTTCGCGCTTATATGCGAAGTGCTCTTACGGAAACTTAAAATACTAAAGAACTCATTACAGTTTGAGCGTAGAAATGCAAACTACGGAAAGGAATTTTTTCACACCGCACGAAGTATATAGCTTTAAAAAGTCGAATTCAAAATACGGATATTGTTCAAATTTGGGATGAAAAATGCAGTATAGTGAATCATGACATAGTAAAAGTCGTCAATTCGAATTTTAAGTCAATCACAAAAAAAATTATTTGTCAGTTATTGCAACAAACGCGATAAATGTACCTACATTCTGTGAATAGTTTAATAATATAATAGTTAAATTTTCTTACATAATATTTTGGAACCACTATCAACTGTCGATTTCTTTTATAATTCTATTCAATTAATTATTTAGGGATGAATAAGACATATCAAAATTCAAATTATAGGAGAAAAAAAATGTTGTTGTTATTATTGTATTATCTTTATGTATAAGCACGGGATCGTAACAAATGCAAACCATTATTTAGTACGCGACTAATTAAAGTTTAAGGATAGACGAACCGTTGTTTCTGTTAATTAATCTCTTTATAAAACCAAGGACTCATAGCCAACCAAGCCAAGGTTAGGCGCTTTATGAACTCGAGTGAGTAAAATGCGTAACGCGATGTTCCGTTATTTTAATATTGCATTTAATGGTACCATTTTTTTAACTAACATGACCTCTTTTATACTGGAAATATGGAACATACGTAATTACTAGTGATAGGCCGTACTGTGAGCCTGCACAAAAAGTGTTTAATCTCCTGCCACGAAGCAATAAAATGTCCCAATTAGAAATGTAGCAGCCTTTCATAATACATAATATACTAAATCCGTTAATATATTGATTTTTTTTTAATTTAAGCGCTTGTTATTTCGGACTTGTAACTCTTGTAAGTAAAGTAGGCAGCGGTTGGCTCTGCCCCTGGCATTGCTGTAGTCCATGGGCGACGGTAACCAATCACTATCAGGTGAGCCATGTGGTCGTCTGCCTACAAGGGAAATAAAAAAATAAAAAAAAACCACCGTGCCTATTTCTGTTGTTATAATATAAACTACAATTGGTTTCGTGATATCAATAGATAGTGAACAATTAATTACCGTATTCTGCACTTTTATGACGAATCACTAAAATTTAATGTCACTACTTACTGTTTTATATACTAATTTGGTCATTTTTCAGCTGATAAAAGATTTGAAATATCAGCAATAGAGAGAGGCTACGAAGTAGATATGAGGCTTACTATCAAGAAAGTAGGCAGAACCACATTCGGTACATACAGTTGTATATCGAAGAACTCGCTCGGCGATACCGACGGAACCATAAAATTGTATTGTAAGTATACTTCAAATTAATTCCGTTCAAGCGAAATTTAACTGGAACCCCCTTCTGAAGTAGGATTTCTTATTGGAATTAAACTTAATACGTACTACAGAAATTATTTATTCGTGAAACTTCCGTAATTTAATACCTTAAGGCTTTGAGCATCAATTGTTAATGGGCGATGCCTAGTAATCGGATACTTTGAGGAAACCTTTAAGATAGTTGTCTTTCGGGAACGTTCGGTCTTACTCAGCGAGTTTACTATTACAGCACTGTCCGGCAAGTTCGAAGAGATGCAGTACAACGAGGTAGGGGATTTCGAAGACGCCTCGGACGTGAGTGAACTGGAAGCTTTGAAGCGAAGTGGGGCAACTCGATTACATAAAACTATACTATTCTTAGCTATATACTTTGTATCATAATGCTACCTTTGTATATAATATATTGTTATGGATAATCTTTTAGATGGAGTTGTTTATTTTTTATCCTAAATCCCAAGTGACAAACTAAAATATTTGACAGTTTTATTAATATGAGTACAGTTGATGGTGTTCAAAATTAATCACAATAAATCTTTTTTTTTTATTGCTTAGATATTGATTAGATATGTGTGATGTTAAGTAGTTACCGGAGCCCATAGATATCTACAACATACCGACACCTACCTTGAAATATGAGTTTTAAGGTCTCAGTTTTTACAGTACAGCGGCTGCCCCACTCTTCAAACTCAAACGCATTACTGCTTCATGGCAGAAATAGATAGGGTGATGGTATCTACGCGCGGATTCACAGAATGTCTTATCACTAGTAAAAATTGAGAAATAGCTTAAATTTTTCTAGGATCACCAATGCACAAAGACAGGCGATCTGTATCGATTTGCGTTACGCACATGTTACTTTGTGAAACTGAATGATACGTTCTAATCTTTAACTACTGACTCCTGTGATGCAATGGTAAGGGCCCCTGACCCATTGAGGGTCGTGGGTCCAATACGATCCGAGGGGATAAGCTTTAGTATAACGAATATATATCATGTAAGTATGTTTAATGGTCCCTATTTCCCATTGTCCTGGCGTGCAACCTCTTTGACAGAACATAAGACCTACAACGACTAGACACAGACTAAGACAGACACTTGACAAGAATTCAAAAATAAAGAGAGAAATGAAACGAGTGAAGACGTGACTAGTGGCAGGCAGTACGATTTTTGACTTTCTAAAAGACGGACACGAACCAGACTACGAGGAATGAATTGACCGCTCTCATATGTACATATAAATAAAATAGATGACAAAAGAACTAACCAACTTATCACCCATAGTCCAGGGTTTCTTATATTAAGGTCAGATGACCGCATGTGATCGTCCCCGATTATTCATTATCATTATTCTATGTATTACTTAAACTTTTCTCATAAGAAAAACATAATTTAATGCCATGGGAAACAAAAGCACGCACATTACTATGAATAACACGAAACTGCTATAAACGCGAATAATACAAACTACCCGCGCTCTATAACAACTAGCTCGATTAATTCAACCTCTTGAATATGTTATAAGAGTCCTACAAATTCACAAACATAATAGTTACAAACCATCTAACACAAGGGTAAAGTAGTTGTTTATAATGATAAGTCAGGATTTTACTAACTCACTTTAATACACACAATCATGTGTGTATTAACGTGAGTTAGTAAAATCCGTCCGATCAATCCGAGATTGATTGTTCTATGTTATAAATATTATTGTTATATGTTAATTTTCTAATTAATAAATGTTTGAACGCGACTTCTACGGAACCAGGTTGTTGTACGACTGTTGTTGCTGTTCAATTGCAACTTTAAATAAACGTGCAGTGGGGCGTTATTGCTTGCTAAGATGTTCAATCGCATTACACCGAACACAAGCACATAATATTCATAATTTAATGGAAAAGGGTAAAATAATTCAATTAAAATGCAATACAGTCATTGGTTATTTGTGTCTTGTGAGTTCACATGGGCAGATATCACCGATTCGCTTATTTCTGTGGTGAAGCAGTAATACGTTTTGCTTGAAGCGTGTGGCAAGCGTTGAACAATAAAACTGAGACTTACAACTCATATCTTAAGGTGGTGGGTGGCGGCATTTACGTTGCTGATGTCTATGGGCTCCAGTAACCACTTAGGACCAGATGTGCCATTAGTTCACTCATCCATCGAAACAATTATACATCGTCTCAAACTTTTTCGTCTGTGTGTTGCATGTCGCGTGACGGTCGGCCGAGCCAAGGCCAATATGGCGGCGCCTATAGTTCGCAGCAGCTGACCGTGTAATGCATAGACTATTACTCATTTGCGCCAGCGTTCCACGCTATTTTGTTTTTGTTGTTTTCAGCGTCAGTCTATAATGTGAAAAAAGTGTAACTTTTACCGTGGTTTCATAAAACCACAATATCCTTTTTTTTTAATAATAAAGCACAATTTTGAACAGGGAAAATCAAATTTACGTAACATATTTCATTTTGTTTGATAGAAACTCAGAACAAACGTTATTTGTTTCAATACAGGCATCCGCGTAATATATCATAGTGAACACGTCGTGAAACTTGTGTGTTTTATGTTTGTGATCGGTCCGGCCCGAGGGAGACTGTCCACCTGTGCATACCCGCGCTAAAATATAGACGAAGACTCATCGCTCTCTGTCAAAACTATAAACTGTTTCGAGAGATTTCACAATACGAATGTAAATTTGTCACGAGACTTACACGTCAATTCAAATGCTGTCCGCTTTTACAAACACTCAACTTGTGTCGCTAACAATCCACTCGAATAGTAATGTAGGGACCACAAATGTCCCCATAGCAACTAACAATTATATGTACGTGTTAGCGGTAATTATAATGCAATGATGATACGTCAGTCTCGGGATTGTCGGGCCGTCGATAGCACGTTAGGTTGTAATCCCAATATACGTTAGTCACTTAACTGAACACCTGTCTTATTAATCCTTGCCCGATATAGAGACTCAACAGTAACATTAGGATTCGAGCCACATTCGCTACGTACCGACTTATGGGTCTAGTAAGTACGTTGCGAATTCGTAAAGTTCACACCGACAAATTACGATCGCTGTAAATACATTGAAAGCAAAGAGTGTAATGTGGGATGTCAGGGCTGACCCGGCTTTATCTTAGTTTTGAGAGCAAACCCAAACTTTTGGGTTGGTTTTCGTATGTTATGGATTGAGCCGGCTGTTATTTGTTTCAAGGTTAACGGCTGCGTACGTTAGGTGCTCGTAAGATAGTGCTGGAAACGGAAACAATTTTCTTTCACGAAGAACAACAACGATTAAACGATAAAATGTATTACGCACGTGTGTGTTAATATATCAGTAAAACATTTGTATTTTTTTATTTTTTTTTATTTAGATAGGTGGACGAGCTCACAGCTCACCTGGTAAATGCGCCACCCACCTTGAGATATAAGTTCTAAGGTCTCAGTATAGTTACAACGGCTGCCCCACCCTTCAAACCGAAACGCATTACTGCTTCACGGCAGAAATAGGCAGGGTGGTGGTACTTACCCGTGCGGACGCACAAGAGGTCCTACCACCAGTAATTACGAAAATTATAATTTTGCGGGTTTGATTTTTATTACACGATGTTATTTCTTCACCGTGGAAGTGAATCGTGAAAATTTGATAAGTTCGTATTTCATTAGAAAAATTGGTACCCGCCTGCCGATTCGAACACCGGTGCATCGCTGGATACGAATGCACCGGACGTCTTATCTTTTAAGCTACGACGGCTTTATAAAAAGCGGAGTCATTAAACAGATTCGGCTCAATTAAAAATAATTGTGATGCTCAATCGTCTCATAATTTTATAAATGACTAGTTGACCCGGCAGACTTCGTAGTGCCTCAATCGATAAATAAAAGACAAAAGGAATCCGTCCGATGGGGGACACATCAAAGGACAAACAAAATTGTTATTTTTATTTAATTCCGAGCATTTTCATATTTATTTACCTTTTAAACCTTCCCTGGACTTAAACAAATAATTCAAGACCAAAATTAGCCTAATCGGTCCAACCGTTCTCGAGTTTTAGCGAGACTAACGAACAGCAATTCATTTTTATATATATAGAAGATTAGACAATGCAATTCGCCATTAGAGAGAAACATTTATATAATTCTAAACACACAAAAGTAGTAGGAATAATCTAAAATAAAAAAAAACCTTATGGCCTAATCAGATAATATGCCTTGTGTACCTACTCATTTAGCGACATTTGACAGTCATTCGAATATGCTGATATTGAAATCCTGTAGGCAGGTCTTAATATTTGTTTGTTTTTTTTCTTCCTACTGAATGTAGTAAAACAAAATAAAGTAATTAATAGCGAACTAGGTCTCCATAGAACACAACGCTTCATAGATCGAAAACAAATCAGAGCTTACAACCCCCAAAATAATACAATGAATTATGAAAATCTTTGTCACAAAACTCTGTAAATTGGTGAGGATTTCTCAGGTAGCCGGGCGCCGGGGCGATTGTCACGATCTCGGAGGGTCCGGATGCATTCAGTAGAGCACAAACGTATCCATTCACTTTGAATCGGACACAGAATTACGTTGTTCGTGATCTGAAACTCTCCGACATCCCATTGTGAAGTGAAGTCAGAAGTGAGCCATAATAAAGTCAATAAGAAATGTTTAGGTTAGTAAATTTTACATTTATTTTTTCTAGCGCGAAACAGTAATTGATTCCGACTTGATACTTGGAAAAGCCCTCGTACAGTAAAATTGAAACTTCGATCATAGGGTGTATTAACGTTCTACAATATCTCTGGTAACCACTTAGGCCGTGAATTCGTTCACCCATATAAAAATATATATAGACTAGCGGCCCGCTCTGGCTCCGCTCGGGTCTTTAACAAAATTTCAACAATGTTGTAAATAATAATGTGTTCTACAAAGTCGTAGTACATTATTTTATTCTATCACCAATAGTTTTCGCAGGACACGCGATGTAAAGAACATTTTAGGTAATTTTTTACACCTTGGGTTACATTATTAGAGTTTTAGTAAGGATCCCAATTTTTTTAAAAAAAAGGTTATGGCCTATGTCACTCGGGAATATTGTAGCTTCCAAACAGTGAAAGAATTTTTCAAATCGGTTCAGTAGTTTCAGAGCCTATTCAACCCAACAAACAAACAAACAAATCTTTCCTCATTATAATATTAGTACCTTCTTCTTCTTCTTCTTCGTCGCTTTCTTCATTACTGAAGGTCGTGTCCCTGAAACTCGACCGTTGCCTGTCTCGTGAGCTGTTTCCATCTCGTCCGGTCCTCAGCTGCTCGAATGGCGGTTGCGACTGGCAACCCAGTTAGAGCGGTTACTTGATCACACCAACGGCTAGGTAATCGGCCGCGGGGTCTCTTTCCTTCTACTTT